ATAACACATCTCTATTAGTGAAAACACCACAAACATGTTTCTAGAATGCATTACAATATATATACAATGACAAAAACATTCTCACTTCCCACATACAGTATATGTGTGCATATTACAGCTTCAGGCATGGGCGGGTGTTTAAGTGTATAATATTAGCACTAAATAAGATGTTCATGTTTGACTGCTGGAGGGTGTGCTGGAATGAGGGACCGGAGTGGGAATGGAGACGGATGAGGGAGAAGAGGTGAATTCTTTGGCTTTAAACCATACTATTACAGCCGAGCGATCCGAGCCAAGCCCTCCGCAGGAGAAACATCATGTGATAGAGAGGAACAAAGCATCCAGATCTCTGCATTGCCGAGGCGTTATTTTGGGATTTTGGCATTGCTCTTGCACCTCAGTGTGGAGCAGCTCAATGTCTGGCATGCCTTGCATTTTAGCAGGACATTTACATATGCAGTGGACTGTGAAATGTTGTCATATTTATTTATGTCTGGTGAACTCACTTTTACATTTAATGAATAAGTTATTTAATAATAATAAAAATAATAATAAATACAAAAAAAAAAAAAAATTAAATATTTTTTTTATTTAACAAAAATAAATAAATTGTAAAAATCCACAAAAATGTTTTCTCGTGTTATACAAAAAGTCCCAAACATGGCACAGTGATGTATCAGATGGTAATACCATGGTATTTTGATATACCCAGTGTTATTGTTCATATACTATTATAGTATTTATTAATATTTCAACTTTGTTTTTAGATTTTCATTTTTCATTTTACGTTTTAGTCATTTTGTTATGGGCTTTGGTCATTTTTTTTAAAGTTAAATTTTTTCCCAGTTTTAGCAGTTTTAGAACTTCTTTCAATTATTTGCCAAAGCCATATTTCAATTTTTTTATGTCTAAGTTTTTCATCTAATATTTATATTTTATTTCATTACAGCTTTAAATTACCAAAAAATAAATGTTTTTGCTAACAATATCATCACTGTATATCGTCCTGCAAAATTATGACCATATTCACATGCACGGTAAAATAAATAAATAAAATAATTCAAAGGTGTAAATAAAACAAATATTATTGCAGTACGTTCAATACTAAATACTATTTCAGTTTTTCTACTTAAGAATTTCATGTTTAATTTAATGTGTTACTTGCCTTTTTTTTTTATTATTTGTTAAATTTACTAGCAATTTCTGAGTTAAAACTGCTTTAAAATGTACCTTTTTTTTAGCAAACCATGGAACACTATACACTAGGGTTGTAACGATATACCGGTATGACGGTTTATCACGGTTTGAACGTACACGGTAATCATACCGTAAACATTTGCATATCTACGGTTTAAAAAAAAAATGAATGAAAACAAAATCTCACCCGCGCACATGTAACTTGTTTCCGCTCGGCTGCTTCACTATGCATTTACTCGGTTGCTAACACGTACATGCAGTGGAGAAAATGACAGAGACAGAGATAATATCTAATCTCCATCCCCGCCGAAAAAAAAGTTAAGATATTTAAAAAAACTCCTTGAGGACGGATCCAATTTGCAAAAAATGTGGACGCAAAGTGGCTGCAAAAGCAGGCAATACATCCAACATCTTCGCTCATATTCGCGGACACCACCCCTCCATGCAGATAAAGGTGTGTCGCATTTATACAAATTTAGACGCGCAATTGGATGGATGGATAAATCTAAAATAGTAGTTATGATATGTGTCTGTGAATATTAAAGTGCAAAGAGACTGCTATATGAATAATCTGCTTGTTTCTGCATGTCTAAATGGCGCCGTTTTATCTACTGCATACTGAGATACGCATAAATGGTGTTTTCAGCGTCTAAGATACATAAACATGAACATCAGCAGAGCTGCTCTGAGAGAAAACGTAAATAAACATATCCTTTTTCAAGGAATATCATGTTTGTCCATATTTTAACTTTGCCAAAAATAAAAGGAGTTGTACATTTTCATTTAAAAACATTTTAAAACATTAATAAAAAAGTCCAAGTGTGATATAGATATACATAAGGTGTACAGCTTTATTTTTTATTGTTTTTTTTTTCAGAAGGGAGACTTCAATACTTTTATTAAAATGGTTTCAAGCTTGTTGTAATAAAGGATTTGTTCACTCAAATAACTTGTTCTTGTTCTTTTAAGAGTCATTGTTACTGATAAGAATTATTGTTTAATATATACTGTGATAACCGTGAAACCGTGATATTTTCTGAGACGATTATCATACCGTGAAAATCTCATACCGTTACAACCCTACTATACACACCAATGAAATTCACTGAATTTTATCACAGCAACATGTCCAAAAACTGTGGTATGTACTTTTTTTGCAAGCGAAAACTATATTTTCACTGGTCAAAAGACTGAACAATATTTTAACTGGTCAAAGGATTCCATACTTTAATCCAATTTGATTTTGTACTGAAAGTGTTCCTGTATTCCTGTAGGTTTTGGAACGTAGTGAGGGAATACCTGTTTAACATACTGCACTGCTTAAGAAAGTATCATGTGGGGAAACCCCGGCAAACCATTCCCCCAAGCTACCTCCAATCTTCTACAGGGTCAGTCAAGGGAAAACCAATGAAAAGCTGAAGCATGTACACATCTTTGCCAATTGGCCCTAGATCTATTTCAGTGAAAAGCCCAGAGACTCTGCATGAATTCACTCTTTCACAATACAAAATATAATCAGAACAATACAATATGGCTCTGGGTCACTGGTCTAGACTTGGTTGGCAATGGAAGGGAAGGAAATGCGAATGAATCATTCATTATGTGTCTCGCATGGTTATGCATACATTTCTCTAGAGGACTGGAACATTCCAGGGGGTTTCGCATATAATTGCAACTTAGCGGACTTGTCCCAACATAGATGTGATTCTCATTATGTTGTAGTACACTGTGACAGCCTCAAGGCTCCAATTATGATCTGTCAATGCTGAATGTAGAATCCTCATCACTGTTCTTACCTATATCATCAGCGGCTGATGCGTCCTCAGAAACTGACAGACGCTGAGGAAAACCAGAGCAACTAGCCAAATTTATCCCCTCATTGCCTTTTGGTTACAAAGTTACACCAGACTTCCAGCCTCCTTTTTGAAATACAAACGCCGTAAAAAATGTGTTAGTGTGTCATAAAGAAGCAAGACACGCAGTCCCTTGTGAAGCTAAATTTGACCTCGGTGACAATAAACTGTGCCTTTGGTCTCCGTGCCAACGATGGTCACAGCGGCGTACATTGAAATGTGAATGAATGAGTGAGTGAGCTCATGAGTGAGTGACCAATCCAGTCAGTTTTTAAATAGTCAAGTCCACAAAGGGGACAAACACTATGCGCAGCCGTTTCCCCATATGACATCATGTGTCCAGCGGCTCAGCGGAGTTTCCTGATGCTGCCCTACTGAGACTCCCCACAGGAAAAGGGCACTTATACTTTTTCGCAAAAGCACACATGCACAATGACACACAATAGCTCTATCTCAAAAACGTCCTGACCTGTGTGTGACAACAATGACCAGCACTGCCATCTCTATGGGCCTAACTAAGTCACTTGAAGGCTTGTTTGATTTGCATTTTCATTAAAATCACAGGACCAGAGGATTGTAAACAAAACACCAAACTAGACAGGGATTGTGCTGTGAATTGGCGCTACATTCAGACGGTGGCCAGCGAATCTAAACGCATGCTGTTTGTTGCATTCTATTCATTTTGCAGAAAGTTACATAACATGACAGTTGTTGATTATGCCAAACTTTTTTTTTTGCAGAGATAGAAGGCCATTCATTCTGCTCCATTTTAAGCTAGCAATAAGATCATTTACAAATAAATGTTTGCCATAAAAGTTTGCATCTAAATGGTTCTCATCTAAATCATTTCAACAGTACTAGTTGTTTTCGATGTGATACTGACACATACTGTCTTGGATGTAAGAAGTTTGCTCTGCATGCTCTGCTCCATATTCCATACCATCACTCTGAATTATGCTGTTGACTTAGGCTGTGTTAGGCAAGGCAAAGTCTAGACAAGTTTATTTATATAGTACATTTCATATGCAGTGATAATTCGAATTTCAAAGTGCTATATATTTATATTAAATAAAATATAAATATAAAGTAATTGAAATTTCAAATAATAAATAGGTTCATAAAAATAAAAAATACAATAAAAAGTAAAAGAATAAAGAAACAAACTAATTAAAAAGAAAGAAAGGTGTATATACATTAAAAGGAATATGAGGGACTTAAAATAGACAGTTATGTTGTGTCTGTAATGTGTTTTTTTTTCTTTTTTCTTAGATTAACAATTATGCTTTGTAAAGTGCCTTTACCACCAGCTGAAAACGGTAGGCTAGTATTAATAGTAAAGCAGTCAATTGCGTGACACAGCTAGTCATGTGATTTCAACATGCCGGCGCCCATGAGGGGCAGACCCGCGTCATGTAGAATAAAACAGCCTTTTCTGACTGATTGCTCTTGAGTCTTTGTCATTTGTAAACTTTAAAACATTACAGAGTGCACCTTAAGCTACTGTCCGATAAATAATGTATAGCCATTTAAAACCAAAATAAACATGAACAATATGTAAAGGACTGTCAAGCCATAAAAAAGTGCCGAACAAGCACACAGGCCATAAATAAATCAGTTTGTTTAGCTGTAGCCCATGTCAAAATGAAAGCCCACTGCACTGTATCCACCTTGTTTGAGCAGTAAGCAGGAAGACTCATTAAAGGTGAGCTTCACATTCCACATTCATGCACAAACCAGTCCAGCGATGATGTCATATTCATTTCTGTTTCCCCCTCAAAAACAACTCAATGAGTTTTCCGTGCAGCAACTTTAGTCTGTTAAACAACTGGCTAACGTCAAACAATAAAACAATAGTTTGTTTGCCTCTCGCATGTCAACAGTGAATCGCTACACAACTGACGTGTGGGACGCCTGAAAGACAAGGCGTGCAGTGCGTGAAATATGCCTTACCCCAGTCTAGGAACTCCAGGATGTTTTTCTCTCTTCTGAGGGGAGAATTATTGCACTCATCATACAGGCAAACAAGAATATCCAACAAGGTCTCCACGCTGAAGCACTGGCCGATGGACTGAGACGGGCCATCTAGAATCAGCTTCTCCAGCTTCTTCAAACGCACCTCTCCAGACATGGTTTCAGTTGCTGCTGATGTCTCACAGTATGGTCAGTATTTGCTCCCACGGTAGCAAACGGGACCGGCCAGTGGCACACTTGCGTGAACGCTCCGGAAAAACTTAATGGCTCAGAAAATATTGTCGAGCCTAATCATGGTCCCTCTCGCACCGATGCGTCCATATCAATCCACAACATCATGAATTCACAGTCCTTAGATGTAAAGAACTTACAGCCATCGACCCTGCCCCTTGCCGGTGGATTTGACGCATATAACCTAGGCTTAGGCTATGTATTCCCGATTTCAGCTTCTCCTTTGAAGGACACTTTTCACAAAACAAGTCACCAAAGAAGTTTAAAGCAATCCCCTGAGATATGGTGATATCTGTGGTTATCCATTATGCAGTAACAAAAGCGCATCAGCAGCACGAGATCTGCATTGCTACAAAGCCCCATATGCCCCTCCTCTGGCAGGACTGCGAAAGCCTTAGCAAGCTGTTTTTCCATTAAATTCCTCTCTTCGTATATACGAAACGCTGGCGGAGGGAGCTGTTATAAACTGTTATGCACTTGTCGAGAGCAGCTTTGCGGCGAGGGGCTGGAAATACGCGTCCTCGTTCATGTCAGTTGGAGGACTCCGCGGCTCCGCTCCCGGTCGCCGTGTGTGTGTCTCTCACAGCTCGCTGCTGCTGCTGCAGGCAAAACCCGACATCATCATGGCGACCGTCACGGCATCTTCTGCAGAGAATGGAGGGATATGCTGGAGGGAAACAGCAGAGTAGTGTATGCTAGAGAAGAGTGTGCGAATTATCCCCCAATTATTCGTTGACCTTCAGGGGGTCGACCTTTTTAGGGGATTTCTATTAGCAATTTGCTGTTGAGATTCGTTTCGCGGCAAGCCAAATTGTCTTTTAGCGCAGTGCGCTAACCGTCAACTGTTTTAAAAATGACAAAACACTTAAGTTTTCTTATTTTTGCTTGTGGTAAATAAACAATAATGTGAAAACGGCAGGACTTTTTTGTTGACGTACGTCAGACAGTGACGGAAAGAACAACGTACTGTTGCTATGGTTACCAATGCAGGCAAACGCGACTTCTGTTCTTGAGCGTCTTATCGCACTATTTGTAGGCCTACTCTTAACTTTTTTTTTCTTTTGGTTATTCATAAAATGCATTTTAAGTGTGTAATATATAAGAATACATACTTTTACAAACATTGTTTGGAGTTCATTGGTTTGTGGTTAATTCCCACCTTTATATGAAAGTATATGAAATTCGTATGTGTGTGTGTGTACCTACTTAACCATATTTTGGGACAAAATTGTACCAAAAAGTGAGCTAAACCTGACCTTTGGGGACGTCCTCATTTGTAAAACTGGTATAAAAATTAAGTAAACAAAGTTTTTTTTTTAAATTGTAAAAATGAAGAAAGTTTTCTGTAAGGGGTAGGTTTAGGTGTAGGGTGATAGAAAATACAGTTTGTACAGTATAAAAACCATTACGCCTATGGAATGTCCCCATTTAGATAGCTAAGTAAACGTGTGTGCGTGTGTGTGTGTGTGTGTGTGTGTGTGTGTGTGTATATATATATATATATATATATATATATATGCGCATTGTTAATAGTGGTGATGGATGACTCATTCACTGAAAAACAGACATGTCTACTGAATATACAGCATGGCTATGTAAGCCAAAGAATTACGAATTACGTTTTTTCCTCCCATTTTCTTATCTTGTGCATCTTATTTCTTGTGCTGAAGCTTTAAAAAAACGAGCACGTTCGCCCTCTTGTGTCCAACATTCTGCATTGCAATAGCAGTGCGGAATTTAATCAAGTGCGTCTGAACTCCTCGTCTGGACTTATTTGTCCGTGGATTTATATGATGTGTTTAGAGAAGCAGCCAGATATGCTTTTAAATGTTACATTAAAGTTTGTATTTTAAAATATCTTAGTGCTATCTTATTTGACAACTACATTAAAACTATGTGACTAGATATATAGGATATGCTATTCATAAAAGTGAGATATAAATGTAGGTCTACAGTAACATTTTCATATATTTATGCTTCCTTTTATATGTCCTAAACACGCAAGCTGTTAGCAAAACATATTTGTAACATCAAAACGAAAATGCCATAACACGGCTGTTCACGTGTAAGCGTTTGACGTTTGAGAACATACCATCTTCTTTTCTCATAACCATTCTTCTATAAATCTGAATCTGACAATTGCCACACCAGGCCTAATAAGGTGCTAATCGTGTCTTTCATGTCAAAACATTTGATGTTAGAACCAAACTGCGGCAGGATGTAGGGAATGTTGAACAGGAAGTTCACATTCAATTATTAATTTCTGTTGTCCATGAGAATTTGTTTCAACAATAAACATCCTTAAGCGTTTAAATTAAAATGAGCAATTTTCAGAAATGACCTGCATTATGATCTTAATCGCTGACAGAAAGAACACTGAGTTTTCAACGCAGCAATATTTACAGTCGTTACCTTTATGATGTCGCTATAGAATTGTTTGTTGTTTTATCAAACCGAGGCGGATCCGTTTGAATAGAGCTGTCTTTCCTATGTAGTAGAGAGGTGTTAATTAGCGCATGTTTTGTTGATTGGTGTGCACCTCCATCCTTTGATTAAGGGATATACTACCCGTGAGAATTAGATGGTACTTATATTGACAAAGGGCCTCAAAATAATCGACAAGGGAAGGACAGAAGACTGACAGAAATCACACAAAGATCCAGGACTTCAGTTTACTCATGCATGGATCATGTGTATTGTACAAAATGAGTCAAGCAGGGCCCTAGACTGAGGATTGTTGCCAATTCATTTCACAGCTAACATGACTGTTAAGAATATAGTTTAAAATAAAAATATAGCATGTATATTATTTATTATGAGGGTTTATTTGTTCACATTTCAAAGTCCAGATTTGCAGGATGGTCCAACAAACTATTTCTAAACAAACTATATATATATATATATATATATATATAT